GCTCCAGTGCCTTGTGGATTAGACCTTTAGGTCGAAGGCTCCAGGTGTAGCCTCCTAAGAAAACCAACTGCTTCGGTTTGGGCACCAATGCAGTATCCAAGCCCTCACATAAATCGACTGATTTATGTGGGGCATATCTATTTGCTACCTCCTTGTACCAATATTTATGTGTTTAAATAAAATAAATGGTAGTCTATGATATAATATCTATCAAATTTCTGATGTTACTATTAGTTAAAGCTTAAGGAAATTTATGTGATGAATAATAAATAATTTTGACTAAATGTAGATCTGGTTCTTCATGTCATCTAAGTTTATTTGACCAAATAATGAGTATCAGTAGTCTTTGCATAAACAGTGTTGCTTGAAAAAAATAATCCATAAATTTGAATTCCGTAATATCAATCACGAACTTTTGTCTTAACAATGAAAAAGATCTTGATGTCTACTTGAAAAAAACGTTTTATGTTTACCAATGAAATAAATTTCCACAAGTTCAAATTGGAATCTTAATCTTGTGGAACCAGTGATATCAAGGTTAAGACGATAACACCAGTGACACTTGATGAATATCCCTGTATATTATAGGTTAACTGAACTTGTAATTGTAAATCAATCAATATTTAAAACAATCTCAATCCGATTGAATACCACTTATACTGCATACAATCCTATGAAAGAATGAAATTATTTACTGCTAACAATTATCAAACCATGATGTATTCATTCTCCAGGAATCTTCAATTTCTGACTATCATTCTAGCTTATGATCATTTATAATACAACATTTCACGTACATATTAAGCACTGAAGTAAGTATTGTTATTTCATTTTGACATAGTAATTAATCTATTGTTCAGCTACTTTTTTCTGTGCAAGCATAGCTTTTTTCTATAGTCTTGCAATTTATCCTTCTATAATAAACTTGGAATAGATATTGAAAATAGAAAGGAAATTTTCAAAAAAATCACTTCACATTAAGTCACACTATGTATAGATATCAATGATTGAATCAATGAACTCAAATTTGTTCAGTGACAATTTGCTATTTATACACTCCTACCTGAAGTTTGTGCTAATGATGTCATTCAGAAGAATGATGAAAGCTCCACGACCAAACCATCCAGCTCAGAGAACAAAACACCATCAAACTACTAATTACATGTAATAGTCTATAGGTTAATAATCTATGAAAGTTCTATAATAATTAAAACATTTTTGTTGTTATAGTCAGTAGATCAACATTTATTATTATTTTTTTATTGAGCCATTGTGTTGTGAACAGAACACGGGTGGGGACAATCGAATGTATTTGACACAAAATTACATGACTTGTTAGTAAAATCTAACATTCATAAAGTAAATACGTAATTTGAAAAATGTCCACCAATTGTTTGAAAATGACTCAGACTTCATTGTTCTTGCATTTTCATACAAATTGCATTCTGTTTCCATACTTTACTGTCCGATTCTCTTGTCTCTCTGCTGTCAGACCTTCTGTTCACAAATAACATCTTACTTACGCCTGTTACTCCTCTTGAAGGAGCATAGGTCGCTCACCAGCATTCTCCATCCAACCCTGTTCTGGGCAATCCTTTCCAGCTCCTTCCAGTTGTAATTCGTCCTTTTCATATCTGCTTCTATTTCTCGACGTAATGTGTTCTTTGGCCTTCCTCTTTTTCGCTTCCCTTCAGGATTCCAAGTTAGGGCTTGCCTCGTGATGCAGTTTGACGATTTGCGTAATGTATGTCCTATCCACTTCCATCGTCTTTTCCTAATTTCCTCTTCAGCTGGAAGTTGGTTTGTTCTCTCCCACAGAAGGCTATTGCTGATGGTATCCGGCCAATGGATGTTGAGTATCTTGCGTAGACAGCTATTTATAATTACTTGTACTTTCTTGATTGTGGTTGTTGTAGTTCTCCAAGTTTCAGCTCCATACAGTAGAACTGCCTTGACGTTAGTATGGAAGATCCTCACCTCGATATTGGTTGAAAGTTATTTTGAGTTCCATACGTTGTTCAATTGCAGGAATGCGGCCCTTGCTTTGCCAATCCTCGCCTTTACGTCTGCATCTGAACCTCCTTGTCCATCGACGATGCTTCCTAGGTATGTGAAGGATTCTACATCTTTCAGAGTTTCGTCATCAAGAGTGATTGGATTGCCGTTTTCCGCTTTGAATTTGAGGACCTTAGTTTTCCCTTTGTGTATGCTGAGGCCTACTGATGCAGAGACTGCTGCTACACTGGCTGTCTTCATCTGCATCTGTTCGTGTGTACGTGATAGGAGGGCTAGGTCATCTGCGAAGTCCAAATCGTCTGTTTGATTCTGAGCTGTCCACTGTATTCCGTGTTTCCCTTCAGATGTCGAGGTCTTCATAATCCAGTCGACCACCAGAAGAAAGAGCAAGGGAGAGAGTAGATACCCTTGTCTGACTCCAGTCCCTACTTGGAATGCATCTGTCAGCTGTCCTCCATACACTACTTTGCACTGTAGTCCGTCGTATGAGTTCCGGATAATATTGACAATCTTCTCAGGAACTCCGTAGTGTCGAAGTAGTTTCCATAATGTCCTCCTATCTACACTGTCGAATGCCTTTTCTTAATCAATGAAGTTGATGTATAGTGATGAGTTCCACTCAACTGATTGTTCAACGATGATCCGTAGTGTCGCAATTTGGTCTGTGCACGACCGATCCTTACGGAATCCAGCTTGTTGATCTCGAAGTTGGGCGTCTACTGCATCCTTCATCCGGTTCAGCAACACTCTGTTGAAGACTTTCCCTGGTATTGACAGTAGTGTAATGCCTCTGTAGTTTTCACATTTGCTCAGATCTCCTTTCTTTGGAATCTTGACGAGGTGTCCTTCTTTCCGGTCCGTCGGCTCTTGTTCCTCCTCCCAAATCTTTTTGAATAGAAGGTGAAGCATGTTTGTAAATACTTCGATGTCTGACTTCAGTGCTTCAGCTGGTATGTTGTCGGGTCCCGCTGCTTTCCCGTTCTTGATTTGTCTGATGCCCATTCTAATTTCTTCCGTGGTTGGTGGGTTGACATCTATCTAACATCATATACTACTTATGTCAATATAAGTAGCACACACCATTATTAAAGTTCAGATTTTAGTATGATCAATGGTTTCTGATTAAAGTAAATATTTTAATGGATCAAAAGCCAATATAAAAATAAGCAAAACTGATGTTTTTTTAATATAAAGTTTCATAAAAAGAAATACAACCTTTAAATCATTTCTTCGAATCATTTCTATACGTTTCTAAACGTTTTATTAGAAAACGTATATATGTATATGGTGTATACTGCTCATGTCAATATAAGTAGTATATAACATCAATCAGAAGTAGAATACCTGGCATAAGAAGGTTGAAAAGATTGAATCAAAGAGAATGGGGACATAGAGGAACTTCGAGACAATTGATGAAGGGTTTAAAAAAGATGTATTGAAAGTATGGTTTTTATATTTTACCAAAGAACTCTGTATTTTGTAATAAAATGTATATTGGTTGTCCCCACTTGTGTTCTCATTCACAGTACATATACTAAAGTTATAGTTTAAATATATCAACTCTATACTAGATGTTAATTGGAATATTTTTACAGGGTTTTTTATTTGTCAACTACATGTAAGCTCTGTAATCAATGTTTATTATTCTTGCCTAAATTTTTTTTAATTTGCACAAATAATTGGCTTTCATGACTTAGTAGGTAGTTGTATAATGCGATGGCGTTTGAAACGAGCAGTAATAGGTTCGAGTCCCCGAGTGAACATTAACTCTGAGACGCAGATATATTCAGCTGACGAGTCCTAAATAGGACGAAAGACGCGTCCTAGATTCCACTGTTAGTCACTATCTTTGCTTATTATGCCTGTGAATTAAGATAATATTGAAGCCATTTGCACAACATGCACGTATGTCAATAAGAGGACTGATCAATTGCAGTCCTAATCATCAATCGGAAGATTCAAGTAAAACAACACCAAGTGAATGTGACTTGTATAATTTAACAGTAATTTGGTGAAACAATGCACTTGTCATGTTCCACTGAATCGTACTTGTTTACTAACGCCTGTTACTCCCAATGAAGCATAAGCCACCGACCAATATTCTCCAACCCACTCTGTCCCACTCTGCCTTCGTTCCTAGTTCTATCCAATTGTTGTTCATTCTTCTCAACTCTGTCTCCATTTATCGGCCAAATGTGTTCATTGGTGTTCACCTTCTCGTTTGACCTTGAGGATTCCATATGAGGGCTTGTCTTGTGGCACATAGTTGTGTGCTTTCCTCAATGTGTGTCCTATCCACTTCCAGTGCTTCTTCCTGATTTTTTCCTCCTCTGGAGTCTAGTTTATTCTCTCCAACAGTAGGTTGTTGCTGATAGTGTCAAACCAACGGATCTGAAGTGTTTTGCATGGGCAACTGTTAATAAACACTTGTATCTTCTGGATGATAGCTTTCATAGTTCTTCAAGCTTCCGCCTCATACAGTAGAACTGTCTTGACTTTGATTTTGGTCGATAGTAGTTTTGAGTTGTAGATATACTGTTCTTGCTTTGTTGATCCACTCCTTCACTGAATCATTTTCTTATAATTCTACCACTTAATCGTCTATTTTATAATTTATATATCATATATAAAAATAACTGTTTAGATTTCTGATTTTCTCACTAGAAACGATTAAAGTAACTTAGATTTGAAGACAAAACAAAAGACTACACAAATTAATGATAAATATATACACCAAGTTATTTAATATTCTGACTGTAGACATTTACCATGATACACAGGATTATAGATATGAGTGTATTTAGTCGTTGATTTCGTATAAATTAACTTAGATATGTATACATATATATGTATATTACATATGCATATGTAAATTTGATCTTTCTAGTCTATACAAACTCAAGTAGTTTTATGTGCCATTTGCATTAGCCAATCTTTTGGAAGTTTTATTCATTTTTTAATTCAATCAAGGTAAATAGTAGTTACATAAATGTAAAGACATTATTCGTTGAGTTGAAGTTATGTTACTAAATGTTAAACTTTGTACTGTTTCAGGTCAGTATAGAACAATCTACTGTCTAAACACATGCATATATATATATATATATAGATATAGATATACATGTTTATGTGAATAATAAGAGTCTTATTTTACACTTCCTATAGTTCTTTTTACATTGATATTGTCCATTATATCAAATCAAATCGAATATAATATGGAATGTAAAAAAGCTGTTGTTAAAAATGCTGATATGTCAGATGATATGCAACAATGTGCCGTTGATATAGCTGCTCAAGCAATGATTGAATACAATATAGAAAAAGATATTGCAGCTTATATTAAAAAACATTTTGATAAAAATTATGGTCCAACATGGCATTGTGTTGTTGGTAAAAATTTTGGAAGGTAACTATTGATTTTCAAAGTATTTTCTTTGTTTTTCTATCAATATTGTTTGATTACACTATTTGAGATAATCAGTTATTGCAGTCGATAATTTAAGATGTACTATGTTATAGAAAATGAAATTATTGATTGGACTTCTGTTCTCTAAATTAGATGGTTTGGTTGTGGAGCTTTCATCGTTCTTCTGAACTTTAGGTTTGTGCTGATGACAGCGTTCAGGAGAACAATGAAAGCTTCACAACCAAATCATTCAACTCAGAGAACAAAATCCCATCAAAATCATCCACCTGAGCTACAAATTTTCACCACTATCTCGAAATGATTTGTTTCATCCAGGATATAACATTGATTGGTTTATTTTGGAAAAGTTAATATGTAATTAAGTAAATGATAAACATGAGAATTGGCATAATCTTTCAGTTTATTGTGATCGGAAATATGGCTCATAAATACACTATTATTGAATAATTCATCATTATCTGAACTAATAATCTAGAGGTAAGATTTTATTTAAAATGATTTTTCTTAACAAAATTGGGTCATGAGTCAATTGAAACTAGAACACCATGGAAATCCTTAAAGCGCTAAACGGTAGTCTCATCCTGGTATAGGACTCCTTAACAGTGCGTATCCACAATCCCACCTAGCGAGATTCGAACCCAGGATTTATCAGTGTCGCGCGCAAACGCTTAACCTCTATACCACTTAGCCGGCATCCAATAGTATTGTTGTCTAAATTTAACTAAAATTAGATTTGTTCATGATATCTATCTTAGTAAAATCGTAGTAAATTTATTTTTGACAAATCCGTGAAAAATCATACTGAGAAAAAAAACAATTCAATCTAAATTCCTAATATCATTGAATATTCCAATGAGTATAAAAACTTTATCTCTTCTCTGAAGAAGCGATATACACTGAGGGACGAAACTTCAGAAAAACTTATATTTCTTAAATTTCTATCCAATACTGACTATATGTGCAGCTATCAAGTTCAACCTTGGCAATAATACGTACAAACTTATGTCATTTAGTTACAGCTATAAATAAATGATAGCTGTCTATTGTAACTAATTTTATTATTTATTTTAATGGTGAAAATGTTTACTTTTTCCAACAGTACTATCTAGTAAATTGTTTTGTTCTTTAATGAATACAATAATTTCTTAATAATAGAGAATTAATATCAGATGAGTTTTGTGAATATTATAGTAATTTCAATGGTAAAGATCATGGGTCAGTTGAAGCTACACCACCACGGAAAACCTGGAAACATTGAACGGCCGTTTCGTCCTAGTATGGGACTCCTCAGCAGTGAATGAACTGCCAATGATGATTTATTAAATTAGATTACCCAGTTTAACGTGTTTTTACCAAGTTTGTTTTCTAATGAAAGGGGTTGATAACTCCATACTTAACCCTCCTATTTTTTTTACCCTGGTTTAAGATCAATAATAACCTTAAATGAGCTACAATCAGAGTTCCATTACATCAAGTTAACTCTGATTCATAATCTGTAATAACTTTTTCTTGTTTCTATGCATACACTATTCAATAAATCATGTTAATTGGTATCATTATTATATATTTACTTTTGATTATTTATTCTTTATTTCTATAGTTACGTAACACATGAAACCAATAATTTTATTTATTTCTATCTACAAAATGTTGCGATACAATTATTTAAATCAGGATAAATAATCAATTACACAATTTATATAATTCAATGCACATATTCACTTGTTTTCAATGAGTAGAACTACAACAACAGCAGCAACAACAACAATAAAATAAAGAAAAAAGAAAAAGAAGAAAAAGAAAAGAAGACAGTTTTAATTCATTCTGTATACATTAATATTGTTAAATAAATCATTCATAAATTTGTTGATATTTCATAATCAAATTGATAATAGTTGAATTCATGAATTGATTAAAACTAAACCATTATGGGAAGGCTGAAAGCATTAGAACGATCGTTTCGTCCCCAGTATAAGACTCTTCAGCATTGAACATCCATGATCTAGCTTGTTGTGTAAATAAAATAGTCTTTTATATTTAAAGTAATTAGTCCCTTTTGTAATTTTCAATAGAACAATGAGAAGACGGAGTTTATCTGAAAAATGTGTATAGGAAATCAACCTAGACGGGACAATACTTAAATTTCCATAGTTTTTGTCTATTGCAATAGAAGCGAGGCCTGGTTAAGTGTCTCTTTAAGAGGACTCGAAGAATTTGTACTTCTGACACGGTGGAAAAACATGAAAAGCTACTGACTGACATATTAATAGCAAATGGTTATCCACTAAAATTTATTATTGGGTGCAAAAGTCAGTTAATGCCCAGACCTATTGTTTATTTAGTTCCAAAGAAAAAAGTTTATATCAATCTACCATATAGAGGCGAATCCAACAGCATAGTTTTAATACAGAGATTGAAAGCAGACAACGAGAATACCTATATGCTGCTCAGTTGGTTGTGATTGAAAAGTCCATGAAAAGCCCATGATTCCTAATAGACTCAAACAATGCACTAATGATTACGTCACATCCCATTGTATTTACCAGTTTACATGTTTGTGTGGAACACATACATAGGAAGGAGTAATCGAACGATGTAATCAAGGGTCAATGAACATGTGCCTAGATGACTTCAAAATCAATGTGTGAAATGATCCGATCAATGTGGGAGGTAGAAAATCAGGTTCATCGATAGCGAAATCTATAATTGAAACGGGGTACAAAATTGACATTAATACAGCTTTTAGAACGTTGTATAGAAATTGTCATAGACGAATTCTTAAGTTTACTGAAGCCTTGTTTATTCGTAAATTTAAAGCCCCCTTACATGTACAGAAACAATTTGTCGTAATTGTTAGGGATGCAGAGGAATATACCAATCATTATCATGTTAAGTCTAATGATGTCCTTGGACTTTAAATGGACATTCCCTATTGGCCACTATTTATTTCCCTCGTTAAATATTGTACAGATGTTGTTTTCTATTTTTATGGTACGATATGGTCTGTTTGGTTGGTATATAAACAGAGTATGTTTGAAATATAACGATTCATATATCCGAGGCTGAGACTTGTGTTCTGGACTCAACTGGCTGGTCTAGACAGGGAAGCAGGGCCAATCAGAACCCTAGGCCGTTCATTACGTGTTTACGTGTCACTGAATCGATCAATAAAACGCTGCTCCATCTAACCTGCAAACCACCCGTTACAACAGTAATCTTGAATTTACCTTGATAGTCCTTAAGTCATTCTATGGCTTAGGGTAACGCGACAATTTCTTATTCGTTCTCTCCCCTTTTTGTTATTTTACTTGAACTTTCATTTAATTGACCTTTATTAGTTTTCATATAAAAATGCCTTGACAAGTATATGTGTGATCAAATTGTTCGAAATGTATAGCACAGTTACATCACATTTTTCGAGATTAGATGGCGGTTGGAAGTAGTCGACAGGAAACCCTGGACCCGAGTTTCGTGCTACTTGGCACACGTCAGCATGGTGTGCCTGTAATTTTGAGGGAACTGGTGCTCCCTGGCGGATTCGGTCCCATGTCACCCAGCTTCACAGTAAGAGATGTTACCACTGAGCTATCCGGGCCGCGACCGACCTCCTGTAGGACTGAAATGTAATCACAATTGATTGATCAGTGGGTGGTGATCTATGTCATGCGTGTCAAGTCCTTATTAGTGCAGATTGAATGCTGTCGACCATAACATTTTTCAGATAAACTCCGTCTTCTCAGTGTTCTATCGAAGTCTTTTATATGTATTGAAAAATTACCGTATGAAATAGAAAGTTAATAAAGGTATCAAGTATGCTCATTTTGTGAACTAAAATTTTAATTAAAGGAAATATAGGAAATTATTTTGATTGGATCTCAAGATTAATATATTAAATATCATATATTTGTTTGTTATATTCTCTGTTTGGATGATTCATAATTGATGTTTGATTTAGTAGCTAACACTGAATTAAGTAGTATGTAAATTTTGACTAAATAAATCACATTTCAGAAATATCTTACTAACTGTAAATAAATATTACAGTTCTTACTATACTTTTGAACTATATAGTAGGTCATTTCTAGTGTCATAAAGCATTGGTCATAATCACTTATAACTAGAGAAAGTAAAATGGAAACAGAGATCATGGAAAAATAAAAAAGGATAAGTCAGTAAGTCAGATCTACCATAATACATGTGTCACGTTATTTTGTGCTCTATAGTTTGGGTTAGATATTTTGCAGAATAATTAAGGCTGTCACAGACGATTCATTCAAATCTTCTCTCTGTTCTATTTACATTTCAATGTCACGTAAAAAGCACAATCAATTTAACAATAAACTCTCGTTTCAAAGAAACGATCTCTGAGTTAACATATTTGGTATGTAGGTTGTCATTGATCAGTTGTCGTGTGTTGGACTGTCTGATAAGCGTTGTCAACTCTCGTAAAAGATATTTCACAAATCTTATTACATAAACCTGAACGTAATCACTGATTTGTGTTGTCATCATTATCGATAACGGATTTAGTGTATAGTATCAGTACATAGCGAGGTTTAATTAGCAGGCTCAGTAGCGAAAACGACTAAACATTTAAAACTTTTATAATCTCAGTTATGAAATGGGATATATTTAAAATTGTAAGCACAGCAAAGGCGCTTTCAGAGGAGAAGTAAGCATCGATTTAGTAAATAAAGGACAGATGTGATTTTATTTCACGGATGGATTGTGGTAAATTATTCTAGAGTCTCGAAAGTTTACTAGTGAACTAACTCATATGGAGAAATTCAGGATGAGATTGTTTTATTAATGAAAAACAGTTACGGATGCAATAGCTAAGAGTTTCTGAACATTGAGTTTAAAAGATAGTTTATTAAGTATTTTGGAGAAAACGATCAGATTTAGTTAGAGTCTCCTCTTCCAAAAAGGGTAGAGTTCAACTTTATTACATCTGGAGTTATAATTAAAGGTAGAATCAATCACAAGAATATGAGGTGTTAATATTCACAGAACGGATTTCAGTCTTAATTGATATCTTATGCGAACACTACTAAGAATAAACTTGCAGTATTCTAGGAGAAGTCGAATACATACTTCGTAAGTTAAAATACATGGCTCGTTGAAACAGAGGTGACAAATTGTGTAACCTAGACGACGTTGAGATTTGGTGTTGTATTTCGAGGTTTGATAGATGATGATAAATTGTAGGAACACTTGGGTCCCAAGTCCACTACTGTATGATACTTGGACAACACCTCACAATTTATGGTTGGGTCTAGGTTTCCACTGCTAGCCACTATCCATCTTTGCTTATAATGCCTGTGAATTAAGACTATATCGAGGCAATACGCACAGCATGCACATATGCCAATAAGAGACTGATCAATTACAATCCTAAACATCAATCGGAAGATTCAAATAAAAAATACCAAGCGAATTTAAATATCTATACAGTTTGTACGAAAACAGTGAAGATTGGAGAAGAGTTCATTTACAGGTTAGTTTCCGTAAGTTCTAGAGTAATCATTAATATCATAGATGATCATTTATTGCATTAAATCACTTATTTTTTGAGAACTTAATCATCCTTTGATTAAAAGTGACTTTTAACAGACATTCGTAGGCGACTCCAAAGGTAAATGAACAATATAATGTAAAACTCAAAGTGTCTCAGAGTGTCGACTCAAAAATCAAGATGTTAACAAGACCATGCAAGAAACATTTCAGTGAGTTATAGCAGTTCTCCTACAATCAATTTCGATTATGGTTAAATTTTGTTAAGCCCTTTTATTAACTTACTTAACAGACAATGTTATTCGAACAGTAACAGTTCGCATGTTTCTTTATACTATTATGACCACTAACATGTCTGTATAAACGAGTACACTTGATCACATGACAGACTCTAGCTAAAATGTTGATAGCTTAAATATCGCTCGATGAATCATCCTCTTCCCCACTTATATATGTACTCGAACCCAGTTATTACCCTTTGAATTGCCTATATACGCCTTTTTCGATTTGACTATAAATCCGCCTATGTATTTCCTTGCACATGCACACATTCACCTTTCTGCTCCAAGCTCGCTCGATGTGCTTGTAGCTTTATGATCTGTGCTATCCGCTAATAAACTGTATTCGCCGCTTCTTATTGCCTTCTGATTTCAAACACCGTTGGGATTTACATAATAACGGTTATCAAGGTGATTGATCAACAATTCAAAGCCACTACACAGTAAATCCCCACATACATTAATTATACAAAGAGGCTAGTTAGATTACCTCGTGTCACTTGGTCACAATGTGTTTAGAATACAGTAAGTTACTACTCTGAACGATCTAGACTTCTCAGATGATCTGGATCTTCTATCGCACACGCAACAACAAATGCAGGAGAAAAACGACCAGTGTAGCAGGCAGCATCAGCAGCAGTAGGTTTCAATATACACAAAGAGAAAAGCAAGATTCTCCAATACAACACAGCATGCAACAATCCAATCACATTTCACGGAAAAGATTTGGAAGATGTGAAAACTTTTACATATCTGAGCAGCATCATTGATGAACACGGTGGATCTGATGCAGATGTGAAGGCACGGATCGACAAGGCAAGAGCAATATATTTACAATTGAAGAACATCTGGAACTCAAAATAATTGTCAACTGCTAACACCAAAGTCAGAATTTCCAATACAAATGTCAAAACAGTTCTACTGTATGAGGCGGAAACTGGGAGAACTACGAAAGCCATCATCCAGAAGATACAAGTGTTTATCAACAGCTGTCTACGCAAAATACTTCGGATCCGTCGGCCAGACACCATCAGCAACAAGTTGTTGTGGTAGAGAACAAACCAGATTCCAGCGGAGGAAAAAATCAGGAGGAAGCGCCAGAGGTGGATAGGACACACACTGAGGAAAGCACACAACTGTGTGCCACAAGACAAGCCTTCATTTGGAATCCTCAAGGTCAAAGGAGGAGAAGGAGGGAAGGAGGACCAAAGAACACATTACTTTTAGAAATGGAGACAGACATGAGTAAAATGAACAAGAATTGGATGGAACTTGAAAATAAGACCGAGGACAGAGTGGGTTGGAGAATGCTGGTCGGCGGCCTATGCTTCATTAGGAGTAACAGGCGTAAGTAAGTATGTAAGTAAATCACTACTCTTTAAATACAATACAAGTCAATTTTATTTCAAAAACTCCTACTATTAAAAATAACGAAATTTAAGAAACACACATTCCATACACAAATTAATTCAGAAGTAAAATATTATCTTAGAAATCACTAAATAATCATATTTTATTTATCCAATCAAGAAACGTTAATGATATATGAACGCTTTGAATACTAGTTATAAATACCTCTAATTAGTGTATCTATTATAAGAATGACGATTAGTCGATTAGCGAAGTTCAGACATGTCTCTTACTAAAATGTATAATTGTGCATTCTGACACGATTTTTAATTATGTTTACTTGATTTCATAAGACGCATAAATTTGTTTTACATTAGAATATTAGTAATATCTAATCAGATAATGTCAAGAATGCACAAAAAGCTGATGAACTAGCACTCAGTCTCAACTGAAAGACCTAATTAACATATTAGTAACTTGGACTCAGTTTACAATCACAAATGAATTCATGTGGGTGGATACTAAACCACACAGCAAAACATTGGTTGTGCGAATTATCAATCGACAGTTCAGTTTTTAATGATGGTTAGTAATGGTGTGACCTTAAGTGACCCTTCTGTTAATCAACAAAGAAATTCGCATTCACACACATGTACATTTGTGTTAACTTATCTGCATAAGCTCAAGTGTAATCAGATAGAGTAGAGATAAGGAGCATTGTCTATGTCAGTAACTCGCGCGTTCACTTCATACTTAGAAAATGAACAACACAAATTTGATTCTGAAATCGATTACATTGATTTTGTTGTATAGGCCAACACTGAATAAAATTTAAGAGACAAAGGTATGTCATCATAATAAAATTCATACAAGTGACACAAATAAAAATGAAATTTCAGAAATTCACTCTCTTGTGAATTCGGAAGAATAACTCAACGAACAATAAAGACGTTCACTTCATTACTTATTAACATTCAATAATCACAGCTTCAAATGTGTGAGACGGAATGGTAATGAGCCTCGGACACTTGTTTCGTGCTATTTAGGATATATCGCTGTAGCGTTTCTACAATGGTGACGGAACACATGACACTGAGATGACTCGAGCTCCTGTCACTTGTTGAGAAGTCGGAGATATTATTGATTTACTGTAGGACTAAGATATCTACAGTAATTGATCACTGAGTAATATCCAATTTAATATTATTAAAAATCTGTTTACAATTTGCTCAAATGTGTTCCACTTCGTTTTAAGTGGCGACACAGATTACAATTTTTGTAGAGATTGTTCTTCGATATATTCTGCACAGTTTTCTCCGGGTGAACATTTCAAAAACATTTTCATTCATTATAACCAGTATCAGCGCCATTTATTTTTCCAATAAGAGTCGAATTTCAAAGCATTTGTCTCCAATTACACTCAAGTAAAATGTATACAATGAAAATATGAGGGTGTTCAGTTTGAAGATAGTTTGCATTATGAACTGAATTTAGTTAGAGAAACGGTGTGAGCTAGGAAGATGTGGACATCTCATTCGTCCTTGAAGCTAACAGAGATTATTTGCATGTTGTATTGGTTGTGGTAATTCTGATTCGCAAACAGATCTACTAATGAACTAACATCAGCTGAGAACTTTTAACAGACGTGTGAAACTCGAAGGATATTTCATAGCAATAAAAAATCGTTTCAATGAGTACCTACGATTCCTCACTTCCAGACACAGAATGTTAGACCTTCATGTTGGAACGATGCTCCACATTCTCAAACTCAGTCAATTAATAACCCAAGTGCCTAGATTCTTTCTTTTTACAGTGAGTCATGAAGGTCATTACGTCGATTCTTTAAATGACTTTAAGTGCATAGAACTATGAGCTTTGTTGAGTTGTAAGGTGGTGGTTGGAAGTAGCAACAGGAATTCATCGACCTAGGTTTCGCGCCATTCCACAATCGTCGGTAAAGTGTATCCGTAGTCTTGAAAGAACTAATGCTTCCTGGTAGATTCGATTCCGTGTCTTCCAGCCTCACAACCAAAAATGTTATCATTGCAACTTAATCGATAGAATTCAGTCAGAGCTAAGAAGAACTCGACACATATGACACTGGTCACTACTCAGTGACCAGTCATTTGTAAGAAGTAGAAATTCTGAGAGCAAACAGAACATGTCAACTTCTTTCTGGCTGATAACATTCAGTGTTGAAATCCGTCGTTAAAATCTGTTCTACTCTATTCCATTATCAATGAGTAATTCTAACAAACTCTATGTTATATCACACTAATTAAGCTTTAGTAGGATTATCCATTGAATCACTCAGTAATAGGCGATAATATCCCAACGTTATTAGACAGGTAACTTCAAACATCCAGCAACAGAAGTTAGGGAATTCGTAAAATCATTCGATGTTTCATATAATGAGCAAATTGCAAACTATCATATTATTCGATAATGAACCACATTGGTTAACGTTTCTTCATATGCACATGTACGTCAGTGTGAACTAATGATTTTCGTATGTCCATAAACCACCAACAATATTGCTATCTATACCAATTTATTTAAATTACCTCTTTATTCTATCCACATTTCATTGTCAAATAAAAGTTACAATCAATTCATCAATAAACTCACGTTTCTGAGTTAACACATGTAGGTTGTAACTGATCTGTTGTCGTGTGTTGGACTGTCTGATAAGCAGTATCAACTCTCATACAAGATATTTCACAAATCTCACTACATAAATCTGAGCGTAATCACTGAGCTGTATCGTAATTGTTATCATAAACACAATATCACAAAGCCAAAACAGAAATCAACAGATTTCACAAAGTTATCCGTTTATAAAATCAATCGATATGTGTATTTTGTAGTAGAGATTGAGCATTTCAAGCACTATGCTATATCAATACCTTATTAACTTAACAATCCCGTCATGTTTCGACTTCAGCCAATCCATATTTTCATGATATTTTCAACTACATATTTTACGAGACATTGGAAGGTCAAGGTCATTTTATTTTCACCAGATACGATATAAATACGTTACTTTTCAAGATCTAATTCTTTCATTAGAGCATAGGTTGTATATTCTTTTCGCTGTTGTCATGCTTGAAGAAAAGGAAATAAATAAGGGTTGTAATATGCAAGAAGCGAGACAGCAATTCGCTGTTGATTTAGCTGTAAAAGCTATGGATACATACACTGTTGAAAGAGATATTGCACGTCATATTAAAAACAAATTTGATGAAACATACGGCTCGAATTGGCACTGTATTGTCGGTAAAAACTTTGGAAGGTATGTACAACAACATCATTTTAATAACTTTCATTATATTTCTGATGCATATATACGTTGAAATATCGAGTGACTCTATTTAAAACGTCTAAATGGGAAGTTAAGTCAAATAGAATTGAAAATATGTAATGCATTATTTTCATTCCGATTGTTTTCTCCAATTTCAGTTATGTGACACATGAAGTAAACTGTTTTATTTACTTCTATCTACAAAATTACGCAGTGCTCCTATTCAAAGCCGGTTAATTTCCGAATTTCCTTCGTGACATAATGAATAAACCGGAATTTTTACTCACTTATTTTCATGCCCAATAAATCAAGTCATTTTGACAAAAGATCATTCTGTTTTATTATTACTTCTAAGTAGTCCCATAAACAAATATACTGCAGTTACAAAACAGTGTATACAGTTCGTATTGAGTTAAATCAGTACAGACTACATTTCGGATATAGACGTCCATTTGATGTCGAATTGTCTCGCTGATATAATACAAGTACAGTTGGTCTCTTTTCTGCTAACTATTAGAGACTGAGTTCTGTTATCGTTTGACAAATATTCCGAACAATGTAGGGATCGTAATCAGATTCATCTTTTGATCAAATCACTGCTTTAGTCAGTGTTACGAATTCAGCGATTTAGGAACTTCTTCCGTGTACATATGCTCCATGAATGATAGATTCATAATAGCGATCTTTGCCTCAAAATACATTTCAAGATACGGTTTCGAGGGCGACTTTTATCAGAATACGATTCAGTATATCAGTTGTATTCCATAATCTGACTACTTCAAACACAGCTTCAAGAAAAGAGCAGTTTAAGTTCCTGAAGTACATATCTACTTCCGTATGAGGGCTGTGAACATTTTTGAACCTTGCTGATAAAGACACTTGATTTGTGGCGTTAATCTGGTTTTCGATAAATCATTAGTAACTGTGCGTATTGTTATATCTTGAATGAGCTCTTTCCGTGGGATAAACCACACACTTTTCCATGTTTTCCGTTCGTATTGTTCGAATTATGTTGTTGACTGTAATTCATACAACTCTTACTTTCCATCATTGTGATTCTCCATGGATGCATAAATGCGAATTATGTAAGTTTGGGGGGACATATAAATCTATCGATTATTTAAGGCATTTACACTTGACAGTTATCGCACACATATACTGATTACAAATAACACATGGGTTCGATTTATCACTTTGAGAAAAAACAAATACGACTTTCATCGACAGATAAGTATAATTTGTTTCGAGTGCCTATCATCATCACGTACACCAAATCCTCGTAGTTGTTAAAGTGAATTATATCATAACATGCAATCCTTCAGTATTTTTAACATATAATACTTTCAAATTCGTTAATGTTTGTCTTATTTTGGCCTCTTTGAAAAGAGTGAAATATCTTTGAAATTCATGTTTTCCACTGTAAATATTAGATACAGATTCAGGCTTGTGTGGTAAGGATAGAACGCCTACGGCCTATCTTATTCCTTTTCTAGTATGCTTCTGTGAGTGTCCTGTCTTCTCTTGAAAGAGTCAATTGAAGGTGCGGACACCACTGCTTCGGGTAGCAGGTTCCAAGTATTGACGACTCCGCGTGAAAACCTGTATGCCACAGGTACTTTGTTCGTTCTTGGTATTTATACTCGCCTGCTATGCCCTCTAAGGTGTCCCGATCTAGTGGGAAGAAAAAGAGAGAATAAATTGGGTCAACAATCATTTCTCAGTATTCTGTACGTCAACATTAGATTTCCCCTTTATTATTATTATTATTATTATTATTATTATTATTATTATTATTATTATTATCTGCGATAGGACAGGGTAGAGAGGCCAGCTTTTCAAGCCGCTCATTGTATGGTAAACCCCGGAGTTCTGAAATTGCACGGGTAGCTGCCCTTTGTACTTTTCCTAGGATATCCGGGTCACCTTTAAAACAGGGGCTTGCAGCCTGAACGCAGTTCTCGATCTTAGTTCTCACTAAGGTTGTGTATACTGTGGTGAACATGGTAGTATCTAGCTTAGTGAATGTCCGTTTTCAAGCCCAGAAGGTTCGAAACCCCTCAGCTGTGACCTCCCGGCAATGAGCCGTCATCTTAAGATCATTACTCACTGTCACCCCTAGATCCTTATGAGACCGAACTACGGGTAATGACACATCCCCTATGTTGTACTTATTAACCTTTGAATCCCTCAAGTGCATGTAGACACACGTTTCCGCGTTGATAGGCATCAGCCAATCTTTAGACCAGTTTATCATATTATTTAAGTCTGCTTGAAGAGTAAATGCGTTTTTGTCTCCAGTTATTACTCCCCAAATTTTTATATCGTCAGCGTATAATAACATTGGAGACTGTACAATACTTGGAAGATCATTAACATACATCATAAAAAGCGAAGGACCTAGCACGGAACCTTGAGGTACCCCACTAGGTACTGGTCTCCAGATGGAGCACTTGCAATTTATTCTTATTCTCTGTCTACGACCTACTGGGAAACCCTTAATCCATTTTGAGAGGGGTCCGGCAGTACCAAGGTTTTCCAACTTCAATAGCAGTCTATTAGTTGGCACCTTGTCAGAAGCTTTACTGAAGTCTATATAGACAACACTCACTGAGTTTCCGTTCTCTAGCGCCTTTATTCAAAACTCCCTTGCTATAAGGAGGTTTGTTGCACAAGATAGACCCATTCTAAAACCATGTTGTTTTATGTTTAGCAAGTTATTGGTTTCCATAAATGCCATTCTGGTCCGTTTGACTATTCTGTTATTTAAACTACAACACTGGTGAGGCTTACAGGTCTGAAGTTCGGTGGAACTTGTCTTGGTCCTGTTCTATGTATAAGAGTGACGACTGCGTCCTTCCAGTCCATAGGCAACACACCTTGGTCAAATGACATATTGATTATCAAAGTCAGTGGGGCCGCGATATATTGTGCAATATATTTCAAGATCTTGGGGTGTAGTTCATCTAGTCCTGTTGACCTTTCTATGTTTAAGGTGCTAAGAGCCTTAAGCGCATCATTTTCATCGAGGTCCACGGTGAGCAGGTGGTTTGTTGACTCTTTATTTTGGTCTAGTTCCTTGTCCAGAGAAGGTTCCTGAGTGAAAACTGCCCCAAAATAGTCAGCCTTAGCCTCTGCTTTTTCCTGATCTTCCTATATTATTTCAGATTCACTCCATTCTTTAACTAGGTTGGGAATCCAATGATGAATCCTTGTTCTGTAGTTTGTGTACGAGAATATTTTCTTGGGCTGCTTGAGTGCAGATTGTGCCATCTGCATTTCATATTTTCTTTGAGCTACCCTAATTCTTGTTGTACACTTATTTTTTACCGATCTGTAGCGCTCCATCGTACCTGCTGTGCCAGGGCGAATGGCAACATCCCAACATTTCTTCCTTTGTCTTGGTAAACATCGAATATCCTGGCCTATCCAGGTATGGCCGTGCTTCTTCTTCTTTGGAACTGTCCAAGGTATGGATGGTTGAGTTACCCGATTGTATAACAAGTACAATGAAATCACCAGTTTATTTGTGGAGATAGGTCTGACAAACTTATTTTGTAAATAGTTTTTAATATTATTTGTATTTGTCAATTTCTCACCGCATGTACATTTATCACTAAATGATTCAACCTGTTGTTTTAGTAAATGACCTTGAACACTTTTTCCGTTGTGATTCTAACATAGCGTGACATACCGTTGCTGGCTAACAAATACACTGCTTCTCTCACATTCTTCATTCGATTTTCATTCGAGATTGAGTTAACTGAGATCTAAAACAAATATTATTTACAATCATAGACTGTGAGAGCGAATACACCATACCTTACTTTAGATAACACCACTGGGGAGTTCATCGATACGTTTGGAATTACCAAGCATCTATAATTGTGGATTTATTGTACCAGATTAAAGCCGAACACGCATCATTTTGAGTGAACTTAAGTAAAGTCCCATTTTTATTGTGTTTGTAACATTTAACTGATATATAATAATATTACTATTGCTTTTTATTAACTTTGTTGATACTTTTTGCGTTTATATATCGTCTGATCCACCACACATTCAAATACCACATCCTCCACAGCTTAAATTAGAGTCTACGTGTCTGTAATCGATTGCACGTCTTCTTCAGTTCATCCTGTGTCTGTCCGACATTGTATTGGATAAAAACTCTGTATCATCTAGAATGTGCTCATTAGTATTGGAATTAACAACCGAAATCGAAACGGACTCACCCGGAATTGTATACAATCAATCGGTTTGGTACTGAAATAATTTATATCTAGAATTTGGACCATAGATTTTTCAACAATATCCTCCCCCACGAAATAATGTTGGATCATCATATCCCCAAGTTATGAACGATGTGGCTTCATTTAAAACATATTTCTCACATTGGTTAGAGTGAACATTAGAAATGTTTTTGTGATAAAGTTAAACAGCAGTTGATATGAAATCATCCGAATTGTAATCAAAATCGAGCGCATTTAATACTTGTCGTTCGCACGAACAAGTTTCCCAGAAGAAACAAATGAATTATGAGAAATAATAATGTTTGGTATGACATCAAGACTTGACTCTTCTGAAATAGTTTCCTCGAATTTATTAAGAATGTCACTGCATGGTAAACGGTCATTAGAAAAATCAGCATCTATCGAGACTGAAGCAAGTTTTTGATCATACTTATGTTCACTCAACATATTTTCTTCAGATTTGCAAGGAATTTCATTAGAAATATGTGAATCATTAGGAAAAGCCATACCTGAAACAATAACATGAGAATTCTGACAAATTGATTGATTAGAAACTGTTGTCTCACAAGGATTGTGTTGATGATGTCACAGGTATTCAGTGTTTGACAACGCTTCTACCAGTAACACCTTCTAATATATTTCGTTCCCACCCAGAGAAATCAAAAGACAGAGTCGAGGAGATCGGAAGAGTATATTTGGCGATGACCAATATATCGGAATTCTCTGATCTAATCTGGCTAGCGATTGCGGTTGATGTTGAGCACGGCGTTACCACACGTGATCTGGTGCGGATGCCTGACCG